GCATCGCGTTGAGGAAGGCCTGCTGGGCAGGGGTGAGGTGCGCCCCGGCCGCCCCGTCGCCGCCCGGCCCGAGGAAGGCCGCGACGGACGGGTTGTCGGGGCTCAGGGCGCAGAACACATCCGCGGTGGCGCTCGCAATCGAGGCCAAATGCTTCGTCTCCTCCTGTTTGAAGAACCGCAACGCCTGCAGCATCGGGTTCGACGTCCCGGATTCGGACGCCGGCACGTGGGGAGGTAGGGCCTCGCCGTTTTCCGGAAACGCCGCCTGAGGTGCGGGGGACCCCTCTGTGAAGTACCCCGCCGGGTGGGAGAGGTTCTCCCATGTCGTGTTCACACTCACATTAAGGATTTCTAGCAGCAGATTAAGAGCCCCGGGGTGCGAAAAGACCCCCGTGATGCCCAGGCATTCATTGCCTTTCTTGGCCATAGTAGAATCACCGGTGTTCGATGAGTTTGTCTCGAGGCATACCGTGAGAAGCCGCAAAATCTCCTCCAGCAATGCTAACAAAAGTAAGTAATTACTACTGTGATTGTTTCTCTTTTGTCTATTGTGAGGCCTTGGGGGAGCGAAGCCGCCCTGCTCACCGTTTGCAGGCAGCTCCACCCCTTCATCTCCATTCTCGTTCTCCTCATCGTTGCCAGGCAGCCAATCCTGAGGCGTAATACTTTGGTGCGCTTTCTTTACCCATTGGTACACATTTTGCAAAAGATCACCAAACTGCTTGCCAAAATCGGTGATTGGCGGCAAAAGCGCTGCAGCTCCTCCGAGCACCCCCATCCTGTTGCCGCTACCGTCAGAGCTATCGTTACAGGTTAGAAGGTCCAGTACCTCATCCTCTTGGCTGTTAGTGATGAGATTACGGAGAGACTCAGCGGCAGCCAACTGCGTATACACCACATCCCTGTGTATGCTCGAGACGGATGCGTTGGGTGCGTCGCCGCACTCCGCTGGCTGCGTCGCTGCACCTTCCTGCAGAGGAGAGGTAAAAAAAAGAAGCTGAGCGAGACGCACGGGAACCTTTTCTTGAACAAACGTCGCGTGATGTTTGGGCTGCAAGGAAAAATAACATATATCCCTACAAGCCTCCTCCAACTCCGCCCACTCTGTAGATTGGAGCTTTTGAACGCAACGTGGTAACGAAGAAAGGCTCAGTGGTGGTGGCTGCTCCCCTTGCTGGGCCGGATCAGCCGCTTTAGGATCCAGCGAGCTACCACCGCTCTTCACATGGCGTCGACGTTTTTGCTTAGACTTAGATTGAGAACCCATGGAAAATTTTACCTTTTGACTTTTTCTTATAGTAGCTTGGCAATATACTTTAAGAAAAACACACGGTATATTCTAGAGGAGGGAAAAGGGTGCTTTACGTTGCAATAAATTTGGCAAGAATGACATAAGAAAAAAAACATTGTAAAAAAAATTATTTATTAGCAATGAAAATAGGCCAACGACATCATGCCGACAATAAAATTATGAGAGGGTTTCCAAAAACCGAACACGACAATATATATATTTGCTGATTCAATTTGTGCGCCTTGCACATATAAAAAATTACCACAACATCTTGCAAAGTACAATATAAGAAGGAAATAAATTTTCTATTGTATTATGTTTTCCTTTATTGATGGTAAAATTATTGATATTGCAACTAATTAAAAAAAAAAAATTGGCGTTGTATTATCGCAACATAGAAACTCAGCACGCAAGAGATCTAATAAAGGTATACACTGTTATGCTTCAAACGGTTTAATAGGAAATATATTTAGCAAAGAAATCTATACATGCGTATATAAACTAGGCTAGGACTGTTGTAACACCAGACCTGACGGCATCCCTCGCGTAAGGAATATAGGATAAGAAATACCACCACATCGCCAAGTACTGTATGATGCAGAGAAAGAGAACCAGAAATCCGCTCTTTGTTGAAAGTGCCGCTATCAATGTGAGTAGCATAGACAGCAAATACACAATACTGGCTATCCATCGGTATTCGTTGAACATGTTCTTAAGTTGATACATCGGCCCGGCGAGGAATAAGGTGCCTCCGATACTACAAACATTACTGAGTGTATAAAATATGCCAAAAAGTACGAAATCTCCGACAAAAATCGCAACAACGCCAAAAATAGAGAGCACAATAGAGGTAAGCAGGCAGATGATGAATCCAATAATCCGTGTTTTAAAGCTAAGAGAAGGGCAGACGGAGTGATTCTCAGTAGCCGCCTCGCCAGTGATAGAGCCGATGTGAAGCAAGGTATCAAATTTCCCCATCTGGATTAATGATTATAGTTGAGATAAAGATTATTATGTTTATATGCGTGTTTGACCCTTTGCCTGCGGGATTTGAGATATTATATGTGACGCAATACGTAACTAGACTAAGATTAATCTTGATGAATGTCAGAGCAAATTGTTAGAGGGAAGACTATTTGCGGGCTACTAAGTGGCTTTTCGCGTCTTGTTCAACTGCCTTATCTACAGGCACAAAAATTTTAAAAGCCCAAGGCAATTTCCAACGACGTTAGATGTTACAGTTTAGTTAATGTATCTGTTGATGATTTTATACGATTTAACGGGGGCATTGTATTTCGTTGTGTGTGTGCGCGTGTGTTCCAGTGGTTATCGTGACTCCACACATTGAATTACCAATAATATATATATACCATCTTCACGTCCCTCGCACGGTGTACTTCATGAAGTAATCATTAAAGTTTACCCCTGCAAACGAACTATCACGATGATCGTACAAATAGCGCCGGGTTTCAAAGAATAAGCTTGGCTCCAGGGGCACCTCCATAAACGCCGCCATCGCCTTCTCATCTTGGCCACTCATTCCTTTATTCTTTTTCGCCCTTTTACCGCTATTTAGCAAATTATACTGCGCAAGCACGGCCTCGCACTGCTCCCTGTAAGACTTGCACGGAATGCCATGCACGGCCGCCCAATGCGCCTTTTGGCATTCCACACTGCAGTAATACACGGCTTTACAGCTGCTGCATCGGGAGAAGACCACCTTCGTCTGCGGTTCCTCCGTTTGAGAGTTTTTTCCGTTTTTATTCTCGCCTGTCAAGCCGTCTGGCTTCACCTCTCCCGCGTAACGGCAGCAATTCGAGCAGCGCTGGCTGCTCAGACGACTTACGAGCGGGATTAAAGACGACATCGACACCGGCGAGGCGTCCAAGAACATCAAATCATGCGCCTGATCGAGATTTCGCTTCGTCCACGCAAACGTGAGCGACTGACTTGACGGGCTCCCCTCAGAGGGTGAGGGCGCGACGACTTTGGGAAGCGCGCGAAGAATATCCTGCAACACGATCACCACATCCTGATCCACCGCCAGCGAAGGGGCGTCGTGGTTCGAATTTTTCGACGACGAACGGGCGTTTTTCCCCTCCCGCAGCCGCCGCCTCAACTCGTCATGGGTGCTGGATAATCCCGTCGAGGTAGTCGGGAGGGAGACCCCTTCGCCGGGGTGGGGTTTGCCCCCTTCCCCTGAACGATTTTCGTGGGTTTCGTCGGGGGAATTGCCCTCCCCTGGCGAGCCGTAGCGGGCCTCCGCGGCGGTAAACGCTGCCACCGCCTCCCCTCCCATAATCGCGTGGATCGCGGGAACGAACCACGGGAGCTGCGCGAGGAACTCCAAATTCTTCCGCGCGTAGTCGTTGAGCTTCGCGGCGACGGCAGGTGGCAACGACCCCCCACCACCTTCCATTCGACAGAACTCTCCAATCAGGGAGGCCGTCTCCCATTGGCATTCCTCGCAGATCGCGTTGTTTCGCTGCGCGAGAAAGGTCGCGACGGCCTGAAGGATTTGCTCACGCCGGCAACGACCCCGCGCGCCCGCCTTTCCTGTTTGGGGAGGCTCGTCGAAGAAAAAAAGCTTCACTGTGGGGTTGAAGGCAACGGAGTTGAGGGCAACGAGGTGATACGCCTTCTCCGATAGCGAGGTCTCACGTGAGGTGAGGCATTCGTAGATCTGGTCCAAGGTGAGAGGATCGGGGCGGGGCGGTGGGGGAGCTTTGGGCGCCATCACCTTGTGTTGATCTTCGGTAGATTATAAAAAAGGTTTGGATACGAAGTCCCTCCTGCTTTCGCTCTCTCGCGCGTCAGAAAAGGCTCTCTCTCTCTCTCTCTCTCTCTATATATATATATATATATAGATATATATATACACGTGTGTGTATGTGTTCAAGAAACGCTAAAGAAAGGGTAGTGCGAAATAAAGAGCATTTTCCTTGCACTATCAAAGATTAGCATTTTATTTCCATCTTTCCCATTTCCATGTTACTGTTGATTTTCTTAGCAAATGAAGTAGAGAAGCCCTATCCATATGGAGCTTCTCTTTCACCTCTTTAGCTTTTATACCGAACTAAGTAGATAATTTTTCCATTCAATGTGAAGATGCTAATATCAAACCTCGCCCGGTTGTCATTAATACAATCATCGCTCCCGTTCCCTTCTTGCCCTCCCGCTATTCATTTTTTAAAACGCAAATACCCCGTGATACACACCCATATCCATATATTGGCTCTATCATAGTGTTGCACTCATCCCCCTCTTCTACATACAAGCATACACTTTACCCCCCATCCCCTCCCTGATGCTTCTATTCATAAGCCATTCCACAGTTAGAACCGGCGCCACCCTTGTTGAGGGTAAAAGAAGGGGGGGGAGTGTGTAGAAAGGATGTAGCATCCACTTCACGCGAACGCGCCTCATTCAATCCCCCCCACGTCCCCCAAAAGCGGTTCTACGCCGCCACGTAGTCGTACAGCTGCTGCAGCCATCTTTCGTATTCCATCTGCTCAATCCACACCGAGTATTGCCCGACAAACTCGCCGAAGAGATCGTCGATATGCCGCTCCGCGAGCCAGGCTTGGATCCCGTCGAGGACCTCCTCCTCGGCCTCGTCAAGATTCGGTCCGGGGTACCCCCCAAAGGGGTTGTGATACATCGCCCGTAGCTCCTTCTCTTTCCCAAGGCTGTTCTCCCCCTGCGTGCTGGAACCCCCCTCCCCTTCTCCGCTTCCACTTCCTCCTTTTCCTTTCACGGGGTGATCCCCGTGAAAGACGACATTATCCACGACGAGCTCACCATCAATGACGTCCAGCCGCACCTCGATGCTGTTTTGATACAACGATAGCTCCCCATCCTCGTGGAACGTGGAGGTGAGGATGCGGGAGAAAGGAGAGTTCTCCCCCTCCCCCTCCCCCCCCTCCTCCTC